AATTGACGGTTTTGAAGAGCGTAATTGTACCGCCGCTAGAGTACGCCGGGGAGAAGTATGGGAAGGAAATAAGAAGGTAGTGAAAGAACTCGAGGCGACGCAGATGAAAGCAGCGAAAATCATCCTAGGATGCTCCAGGCGCACAAGTAATGCAGCCGTGAGGGCAGAATTGGGGATCCAATCCCTACGGTCGGGAAGAGACGCGAGGAAGCTGACCTGGCAGTATCGCATGTGCGGGATGGGAGAGGAGAGGTTGCCGAGGATTGTATGGGAGGCGAAGTGGGCAAACAAAAAGAGGGGTAGCCAACCCACGGAATGGGTCAAGGTTGTAGAGGACGTATGGAAGGGGCTCGACATCGACGAAGATGAAACGCTGGAAACGGAGGGTCTACAGGGGTCCAGGGAGAGGACAGGGGACATACGCCTTCGAGACCGTCGATGAAGACACAGGACGGTAGACAGACGACGAAGACGACGAGTTCAAATGTGATTGCGGCTTCGAATGCGAAGACCGTGTTCATGTAGTCGCGGAATGTCCGTTGTACAAGCAGGAGAGGGAAGTGTACGTGACTGCGCTGGGAAAAATAGATGGAACGTACAGGGAGATGTTTGAGGCATGGAATAGAGAGGAAAGGACGGTAGCTGTACTGGGGCATAGGAGGTGGTTTAAAATGGCGGGAAGGGATATCGTTAGGATAGACTAGGGAAGACATTTTTAAACCACCTTTGGCAAAGTAAAAAGGAACGATTGGCCATCTGTGATCGGTTCTGTGGGAACAGTGCTCCGTCCTCTCGAGGACGCGTGGTCAATGGTCTAACCGCTAAGGCATGCAAAACATAAGAGTACCCGAAAGTGACTGAACTGTTCGGCGAAAACCCATGCACATCACAATCACGGGTCGGGTGCACACCGCTGGCCCTTGTCTGTCGCCAAGTGAGAAAGCAGCGGGAGGGATAGAATATGTCCATTTTTTAGATGAGTCTCGTGTGTGTCGCATCTCGTAAGTGAGGCCTTCATCGAGCTCTTCTTCTCAATCACTTCCACAGACCGCCTGCCGCTTCCTCCAAAGGAGACTTCCACCGCCGGCGGGGGGTCTGCCTCCGTCCGTCGGGCCGTCAGAACGTCTGAATTCGGGAGCAGAGGGCGTTGCTGACGTGTACTTGTGTGCATGGGTTTCGGTCGAACAGTACAGCCATTTTGGGGTAGAAGGGGAAAGAAACCGGGTACGACTCCTTTCCCCGGTGGGTGAATGTTGTTGTTGTTGTTTTCACGTTGAAGACCGTTCCGATCTCTCTCTACCCAGCACCTTCGCATGGCCGTACTGATCCAACACTCGACGCGGTCGATTCCCATGGTCACAGGTTAACTTTCCCTAAATATGTATACTAAAATAATCTGGCCCCGAGGGGTCCGCAAGTCAATAGAAATCAACGACAGATATTCCGGAGTCCTCCACTCCCTCGAGGTGACAACTGAGACTAGCAGCCAACATCATGTTCGTGTATGTGCATATGTGGGAAGGATGTGAGGGCGGTTTTGTGCTTCGTAGTTGAAGGGACATACAATGGTACCTTTTGTGGTAGACTTTCGATGGGTCAGCGGTGCCCCCATGCTGCGCCAGCCTGCGTGGGACACTCTCTTTCTCCCCTATCTATCGTGCATTAGTCCTGCGGATCTAATACAAGCCATCAACGAGACTTTCTATTCACTGGACACAAACACGGGCATACCCGGCATAAGACTCCGGCTCTAGGAGTTCTCAACACATCACGGGCCGGAGAGAATGAGGTGCACCCCCTTCATTCCATCTTGGTACTTCACTTTCTAGTCACTGGACACAAACACGGGCATACCCGGCATAAGACTCCGGCTCTAGGAGTTCTCAACACATCACGGGCCGGAGAGAATGAGGTGCACCCCCTTCATTCCATCTTGGTACTTCACTTTCTAGTCACTGGACACAAACACGGGCATACCCGGCATAAGACTCCGGCTCTAGGAGTTCTCAACACATCACGGGCCGGAGAGAATGAGGTGCACCCCCTTCATTCCATCTTGGTACTTCACTTTCTAGTCACTGGACACAAACACGGGCATACCCGGCATAAGACTCCGGCTCTAGGAGTTCTCAACACATCACGGGCCGGAGAGAATGAGGTTCACCCCCTTCATTCCATCTTGATACTTCACAACGCAGAGACAAGACCATCTGGCACAGAAAAAGAGAGAAAAAGAGAAAACAGAGAAAACAGAGAAAAAAAACAAAAGGAAACAGTGAGGAAAGAGAAGCAAAATGAAAAAGGGCGAGGACAAAAAGGGACCAGGCCGAAAATAACAAGAAATAAGAGACGGACAAAGGCACACGGTGGAGAGACCACTAACGAATAAGCAAACCCGCAAACATGGCCACCAACCAGCGATACATGGTAATATTACGTCATCACTAGTGGGGGATTGGTGCAATGGTGCAGCGTTGGGGGGGGGAATTTGCTAAAAGAAATTCAATCCGCACGTACCACGCCACTCGGTCCGTCTCTTCTCGTTTGCTTCCTTCCCTCGCCGTCTCGTCCGTCTCCTGCCCCCCTCCCGCCCCATTGGTTGGTGGCTTGTGGTTTTGTTCGAGCGCTCGTTTTCGGCTAGCCTCTTCTTTCTTCTCATGCCAGGAGGTCATGAACCTCTCAGCTCCCTGCAGCACCGCCGCATGCCAGGGTACTCCCCCCTCCGCCTTCGCGGCTTCCGTCCACTTTTACTTCGGTGCCGTGTCTTTCGGTACCGGGATTCTGAGACAACATGGATCGGTTTTTGTAGATCCGTGTTCGGCCCCAAATGCCTTAGCCAAGATCGGGAGCACCCGGTGCAAAGACGGTCAAGATCGGGTAGGAGTGGGCGTCGGCCAATCAAATGGTGTCTTGCGGTCGCTCCCAGCATCGTCTTGTGGGGTTATCCAATTATGGCCGTGTTTGGACCGGTTGTACCCGACGGCCACTGTTCATATTCATTCGTCGATGCCTTTATTTATGCATACAATCATTTGTCTAGTGATTATTATGAAGCAGCGCAGATACATCAAGCGAGAGTGATTACAATTAAAGAGGTACATACAATCTTCTGTATGTAGGAGTTTTACGGTATGATGAGTGTTGATATTTTGATATTTTGATATTTTGGATTGGTGACGTACGATGGTATGCGTGAGTGCACGATGGCTTGCTTGAAGTGAACACTAAAAATCGGCCAGGGTGTGGGGAAACGGGGCGCCGTTGTAGAAAGATGCACGGGACGACTTTTGCGGCTGTTATTTACCCTTTGGATATGGATGTTCCGTTGGAGACTACAGGCTGTCGTATGTACGCTACGTCTCTCTGATCGGCAGGTTCTTAAACAGTAAATTCACCCCTCGTCGTGGCATACAAGTTGTGCAGTAGTAGTGCAGGATACTCGTTTGGTCTTAACGCTTTAGCCAAATGTGCGACGCACCCCCGGCAAACATGTCTACTAGACCCCGAGTGGGGGGAGTTTTTTCCGCGCGCATCATCACAACAGCATAA